GTTACAAATGCCCTTCTTCCATTCGGTACCCGTGGTTGCTGTCTTGGCCCACCACGCTGACAACGACGTTCTTCCCCCGTGTCCCTTTGAGTGGATGCCATGAAGTTGTCCTTGTCTTGGACACCGTTGCTCCAGAGATGGACTCAAGCGGCAGCACCTTGTGGGAGTCAAAGACAACAAGGTTGAGAGAAAAGGTGGGGAGGGGGGGGGGGAGGAAGGTTGTGTGTATGTGAATAGATGAGAATATATGTATGTGCGTGTACGTGTGTGTGCATGCGTGTGTGAGTGTGTGCGTGTGTGCGTGCGTATGTGATGAAGATGACGTGATACTGTGCGCGTGCGTGCTGCGTGTGTGTGCGTGTGTGCGTGCGTATGTGATGAAGATGACGTGATACTGTGCGCGTGCGTGCTGCGTGTGTGTGTGGGAATGGGTCGCTGCATGGCCTGCGAGGGAACTGTTGTGGTGCAGCTTGCACATATGCGCGCACGCTTGAGTGTGCCGTAGTTACAACCCCTTTCCACAGCGTTTGTCATCGCCGTCGTCACCCTCTTTGTCTTCAATGCGCACCGCTTGCCGGCGCCGCTGAAGTTTGGCTTGGTGCGGTGGACACCTTCCTTGGTGAGGATGAGCAGTCGCCTGAACAGCGGCACACGACATGCAGCCACACAGCAAACAAGGCGTGAGGGAAGAGAAGGAAAGGGAAGGAAGTGTCACAGTTCGCACACTCACGCACTCTTCCTCACTCCCCTTTCCTCAGCCACAAGCACCACACTGTCAAGTTCCCTGCGCAGCCAACAGGGACTTGTGCTCACGGCATGGGTTTGCCCTTGCGGCTGATCTTGATCACGGGGCAGTCGAAGAGCGACTCGCCAAACTTGTTCTCAAAGGACTGCTCATCGTGGGTGGTGATGAGGGAGGACACGCGTCACATGGAGCAATCAGGCAATGATGAGGAAAGTTGGTGGAAGGAAGCACGTGCAACAGAGTTAAACACGGGGTGGTGAAAGGAAAGCCACGGGGCAGAATGGGCAAGCAGCCAAGGAAGCAAAGCCGCAAGGAAGCAAAGCCGCAAGGAAACAAGCAAAGACGCAAAGCCGCAAGGAAACAAGCAAAGACGCAAGGACACAAGGAAGCAAGGAAGCAAGGAAGCAAACAAACAAACAAACAAACAAATGCACACGCGCCCCACGGCCCTCATTACCTTGAGTCCGTCGGTGTTGTCAACGTGGTGGACAGAGAACGCGTCTTTCGTGATCTTGAAGCCACTTTTCTCTCCAGCGAGGAAGCGGTGCGCCAGCAGCTGTTGCGGCGGTGTCGGTGTCGTGGTGGTGGAAGAATGAGAGGGCGAGCAGGGCAGGGCAAGGGGTGCGCGGGAAAGAAGGACAGGCAGCACAACAACACAGCCTTGTCGCGTGAGCGTACACACACTGACACAACCCACAGACAGACACATCCACACACACACACACACACACACACACACACACACACACACACACACACACACACACACACACACACACACACACAGACACAGACACACACACAGACACACACAGACACACACAGACACACACACACCTGGACGCGCATGATGCGCTGTTGGTCTGCCGAGAGCGAGTTGACAAGCTTGCGCGCCCACCAGTTCTTGTACACCCTGAGGCACATCAAGCAACGAGGGGCGGCGATAGGAACAAGGGCACCAACAACAACCATCAGCGTCGTCGTGCGAAGGGGGTCAACCAAGCAGTGACGACCACGACCACCACCATCACCACCATCATCGTCATCATCACGATGACTGACTTCTTGAGCATCTCATCGGCCTTGACAAGGATCTGCGTCGGTTTCGGCCACTGGATCTTGATGCCAAAGCTCGGGTCATTGGCAACATCCTTGAATCTGCAGAGGGCGCACACGTGAGCATGTGAGCATGTGTGTGTGTGTGTGTGTGTGTGTGTGTGTTGGGGGGTGTTGTAAGCTTGGTAGTGTGATCCATGCGCTCTCGTGCACAGACAGACAGACACACACACACGCACAGACAGACAGACAGACAGACAGACAGACAGACAGACAGACACAGACGTGTGCGCGTGCACTGACCTGTCCTTGAGCTCGTCGTAGTAGGCGCGAATTTCGCGGCGGATAAGGAAGAGGCGCCAGGCAAGCTGCAGTCGCGTCACAATCTCATCAAGCTGAAGACGTGTGCGGAGGAAGAGGGGGGGGGGAGGGACGAAGGACATGGGAGGGAAAGGTTGGATGTGATAGGGTGTGAGGGAGGGGAGACAGATTGGCCAGCATGAACGTGGTGATGCATGTGTGAAGCTTGAGAACGCTGACGGCCCCAGAGAAGCAGGTCACACACACATACACAGCCACACACACATACACAGCCACACACACATACACAGCCACACACACATACACAGCCACACACACACACACACACACACACACACACACACACACACACACACACACACACACACACACACAGTCACACACGGCCGTTGACAACATCTGAGAGAGGGATGCCGGTGTCATGAGCGCACCTTGACATCGCGCTCTTCCTCGAGGGCGAAGACGGTGGGCGGATTCTTGATGAACACCTTCGTCTTGCCCATCTGCAATGGCGAGGGTGTCATTGCATGCACGGTGGAGCGGTCAATACGCCATGAAAAGGTGTTATCAGTGGTCGCCGAGGGCTGTGTATCGACACAGACACACACAGACACAGACACAGACACAGACACACACACACACACACACACGCAGACAGACAGACAGACAGACACAGGCACAGACACAGACACAGACACAGACACAGATAAACACACACAGACACAGACACAGACACAGACACAGGCACACACACACACACACACACACAGACACACAGACACACACACGCAATATACCTGGTAGGCGGAGGGCGGGATGGCGAGGGCCTCAAACACGGCGGCAATGCCATCCTCCACGCTGCCGTTCCATGTCGGGTACGTCTTGGGAGACAGCAGCTTGTAGCGGAAGAAAAACGCGTCCTTGTCCTCACGGAAGCAGAAGCCAGCGCGACGCACGCGCACGTTCTCTGTCAGGCCAAGATACTTGACCTGGATTGGTGTGACGATGGTGTGTTGGGGTTATGTTGTGTCAGTGTCATGTGCGTTAACACGAGGGCAATAACAAAGCAACGTGGACCTGTGAACACTGACAAGGTTCCACATCCATGCGTGTGTGTGTGTGTGTGCTGTGCTGTTGTGCGTGCGTGCGTGTGCGTGCGTGTGTGTGCTGTTGTGTGCGCGCGTGTGTGTGTTTGTCAGACCTGGTGGCGGACGAGGTCTTCGTCAATCTTCTTGGCGGCCTTGAGGTGGTTTGGCTTGATGCAGCGCACATAGCTCGGGATCTGGGTTGTGAGTTGTGTATGGGAACAGGTGGGTGTGAGCACAACAGAAGAACACCCAAGCGGTATTCCTTTGCGCAACAGCATTAGGAGGAGAGGAGGAGGAGAGGAGGAGGAGGAGAGGAGGAGGAGGAGGAGAAGACTTGAACGCACACGCAAAGATAGCAATACCAAGCACGCATATGACACACAACACAAACAAACAAACGCACACACATACAACACAAACACACACACATACATACACACACACACACACACACAACACAAACACACACACACACAAACACAAACACAAACACAAACACAAAACGCCCCGCCTGTGCTGGTCGCACCTTGGTGTTGAGGAGTTCAATCATCTCCTTCATGCTCTGCACAAAGGCCTTGCCAGCCGTTGGCGGGCGCTTGGAGGCTCCGAGCCACGTGCTCTCGTCGCCCTCAGGGAAGCACTCCTTCACAAACAAACACACAAACAAACACACACACACACACACACACACACACACGCACACGCACGCACACGCACACACGCACACGCACGCAGAGCGATAGAAAGGCCAATTGTCAGTTGTAAAAGAGGCGGTTGTGTTCGGGTCAGGTGTGCTGGAGCGGTGGTGAGGAACAGACACGAATCAACACGAGCGACTCTGTGGTCAAAAAGCGTTGCTTGCAGGCACCTTGAGAACAAAGTTTCCGCTCTGGAACATGACGCGCGCCAGGTCCTTGAACAGCGTGTCCGTGTTCTTGTCGAGGAAGCCCTGCATGTGCACATGAATGCATTTTGGGTGTGCCGTTTCGTGTATGCGTGAGTGATCAAGTGGTGTTTCATTTGTTCCATCACACCCCTCACACCCTTGCCCAAGTTCGCGCAAGTGCCGGCTCTCTTTTCCAACACACACACACACACACACACACACACACACACACACACACACACACACACACACACACACACACACACACACTTGTTGGACGAGAAGACTTCTTCTGCTGAGTGGA